TGTTTGGCCAGTAGGAGGCAATAACATGTAGATTAAAATGCCCTCGGCTGTCTGGCAGCAAGCAATCATTTAATGCATCCTTTTCAGGTTTGGGGAAATGCCCTCAGCCATCTCCAGATGATTCAACCCTGCTGACATGTTGGAATTGGCTTCCAGCATCCAGGTTTATGGGTTGATGCTCACCTACTGAGCCACACTGGCTGGACTAGGCTGTTTCTTTTAAAAACAAAAGAGTAATGTCTCCTTCTGGTTTATGTCCCCCTCAGTCCTGACAAAGGAGAGGGTGTTTGCCATTCATGGTTCAAAATTTTTATTTTTTATGTAAAGAAGTATTTATTAAAGTAAAATATCTAATTGGACTGCTTGATTATAAATAGATTTTTAAAAATTCATAAAACATTTGATCCAAAGAATGGAGCTACTTATTCTAAAGGGAAAAAAGTCACCCATAAGAGAAAATTTACATACTCAGGGTTAAACATATATCACTCTTTTTAGGGGAATATTATATAATAGAAAACATAACTTCAATAAATATCTTCTTTAATGATGCTCAGATTATATCTTTTCCTTTCTCCCATTCCCCCAAATTTAGTACACATATTGGTAAATGTACTGGATTGTTCACAGGACATATATAATAATTCTAACCAATTTCATTTGACATTCAAGGGGGAGGGTTGATAAATTTATGAAATATGCACCATTTCATTTAATCTTAACAATGACCTTGTACAGATGAAACTGAAATTTAAGATGGGCTTAGGTGTTTGTTTTTTAAAACTGCAAGCTAATGAGGATAGAACTGAGTTTTAACCTAGATCTATATCTATATTACTGCTATAATGACTTTTACAATGATAGTTTCTCATTAATTAAGCACTGATTATATAATGTTTACTTTATTTGATAATTATCTTATTTGAATTTTTGAACAACCTTTGGAGTAGTAATAATTGCTCTTGCTTTAGCATATGAAGTACTTACCTTATTTGATCCTTACAGCTAAGGAAACTTGGGGTCATATAGCCACAACCAATAAGGACTATAGCTATGAGTTGAATCTATAACTCTTGATTTCCAAAGTGTTTCTTTAAATACACTCTGCATTTTTCTCCCCACCTCCCATTTTATTCCTTAACTCCTAAATACCCCTTGCGAGCTATTGCTACACTCTCCTGTTTTTGCTCCTTCCCTCATATCTGTTCTTTTAAAAATTAATTAATTAATTAATTTTATTTTTTTATTAAGGTATTACATATGTGTTCTTATCACCCTTGCCTTCCCACCTCCTCTCCCCCTACTCAAACCCTCACCCCCCCTGGTGTCTGTGTCCATTGGTTATGCTTATATGCTTGCATACAAGTCCTTTGGTTGATCTCTCCCCTTACCCTTTCACTTTCCTCTTTGGTTTGACGGTCTTATTGATGCTTCTCTATCTCTGGACCTGTGTTTGCTCATCAGTTTATGTTGTACATTATATTCCACAAATGAGTGAGATCATGTGATATATATCTTTCTCTGACTGGCTTATTTTGCTTAGCATAATGCTCTCCAGGTCCATCCATGCTGTTGCAAATGGTAAGAATTCCTTCTTTTTTTACCACAGCATAGTATTCCATTGTGTAGATGTACCACAGTTTTCTAATACACTCATCTGCTGATGGGCACTTAGGTTGTTTCCAAATATTAGCTATGGTAATTGTGCTGCTATGATCATAGGGGGTGCATATATCCTTTCTGATTGGTCATATCTGCTCTTGACACCACCTTTGAGGTCCTTGTTCCATTAATGTTGCTCAAGTATTAAGAAGGGTGCTTCTACTCACAAATTTCAATTTTCTCAAACTATGATAGTTTCTGATCTTTTTTTTTTTAATTACTCCTGTTTTAAGCCACGTGGTATGAATAGTCTAGTAGAAGAAATTAATCGCTTCATCATAGGTAGAGTGAAAAGCATTCAAAGCCAAACAACACAAAAGATGGAACAGCAGATTACTCTTGGCCTCCCAGAGCTTTCTAGGAAGTCTCATGCCCTGAGATTTTGAGGTATTTTTTCAGTGCTCAGGAATCTTTCCCCTCAAAAGTGGAGGTGTTGATCTTCTTCCTCTTCTTCTTCTCCTCCTCCTCCTCCTCCTCCTCCTCCTTCTTCTTCTTCTTCTTCTTCTTCTTCTTCTTCACAAATTTCAATGCTACTAAGATCCTAAATGTGCTAATATTGGTGTTAACTTGCTGTTATTCTTTTGCTGCTTGAAGTGACACAAAGTTCCAATTTAAATAGGAAGCCAGAAAAAAAGGTTATTTTATTTTCACATCAATTCACATGTAATTTAGAAGCTATTAAAAAACTTCTAAAGCAGTGGACTGTGATAGAGAGTGGAAGGAATCATTTTGAGGAGATATTATTTCAACTAGTTACATAGGATTTGGATTAGTGATGGGTGTATTGGAAACATTACGGACACAAGACATGGGCATATCAGTAGAAGTAATAAATCAAAGGGCATGTATGGGAAGCAATATTTTACTTTTACTGGGAAATGAGGTGCATAAAAGGGAGTAATGGGGATAAAATTAGAAAAGTAAATTGGGGAAATATTGGATACAAAGTGAAGATATTTGTATTCATTCAGTGTTTAATAGATTTTGAAGGAAGGACTTATTTAGTTAGAATTGAGCTTCCATTATATTAGTCTGAAATAAGGACTAAAGTGGATTGGAATGGGAAGAGTCCAAATGAGGCAAGTCAGGAAACTAGGGTAACATTTGGGAGACAGGTAAAGATAATCTGAAAAAGTGCAAGATGTGAGAAGAAAAGGAGGAGTAAAATGAGATCTAGTAGGACTTGCTCACCAATTACAAACTGAAGGTAAAGAGAGGAAAAAGTCTAAAATGACTTAATCCCAGAATCAGTAATGGGATTAAGGAAGCCAGGAAAACCAACAGGATTAGGAAAAGGGAATTGAGCTGGATATACACTATCTGAAGCCTAAGTAGAATATCCAAGTGGAGAAATTTAAGAGAAATTGGAAATATAGTCTGAACTATGGATTTATTTGGGGATGAACACAGAATTTTCTCTTTTTTAAGAGTTCTTTAAAATTTATTTTTGTGTGTTCTGGAAATAGGAATATTTAGGAAGGGGAAAAATGTAATTGTTTTAAAATTATGATATTAGAGAGCTGATAAGTCTGATTAGAAAATACTTTAGAGATGCTTAAAATAGATGTTTTCTATTCCTAAGTCAGAAACATCTACTCTCTAGAAATGCTTCTCAGGAGATAATTTTAATTCATATTTAAAATTGGAATGGTGAACAAATTACTTTATAACTCTCATTATCTAAATCTCATCTGTTGTAATTTAAAATATGTACACTCATTTTAGAGACATTTCCCATTGTTGAATTGTATATTTTAATCAAATCTCATTCATTACGCAATATCATGTCTAGATCTGCTTTTTCATTTGTATATTTTAATCAAATCTCATTCATTATGCAATATCATGTCTAGATCTGCTTTTTCATTTATCACCTTCATATTTATGTTTTACTCTTGAATTCAAATGTACTGATATGTATGGCCAAGAATTTTCCATTATTCCTTAACATGTTTAACAGATTTTTAATTCTTGTCTGTTTCATTGCTATTTATAATGTATTTCACCATAACATTACGTTGATGTCTGGTTGAAATAACTTGATGGTTCAGAAATATAGTGAAAATATTAATGACGGAACACAAAAAAATGTTTTAACTTTTTATGGCCCAACAATTGAAGTGTCATTTTGGGAGTGTTCTTCATATTTAGATCTGGCCTTAGGCACCTATGGAGGTGATTTAAGTTTTCAGTATATGAGGCTTCTCCTACTCTATATGTAGTTTTATGGTGTATTACTTTTTCTACATTAGACAAAATAAATGTCAATTTTATCTGGAAATTACAATATACCCACATATAGAGTAAATGTTCTAATCCCTTCCAAAATCTGTTAATAATTTACTTTCCCTTGGACATAATTCTACTTTATCATAGACTAGAGGCACAGTGCACAAAATTCGTGCATGGGTGGGGTGTCCCTCAGCACAGCCTGCACCCTCTCCAAACTGGGACCCCACAGGGGATGTCTGATTGCTGGCAGTCAGACATCCCTCTCACAATCTGGGACCACTGGCTCCTAACCAATCACCTGCCAGCCTGATCGCCCCCTAACTACTCCCCTGCCAACCTGATTGCCCACAGATGACCCCCCCTCCAGCCCCTCCAGCATGATTTCCCAAACTGCCCTCCCCTGCTGGCCTGATCACCCCAACTGCCCTCCCTTGCCGCGATCTGCCTCCTCCACTGGGACTGGCCATCTTCGTGCCACCCAGAGCCACGGGACCCCCACAACTCACCGCGTGGAGCGGCAACCGGGCCTGACTCTGCTGTATGCACAGCCATATTGAGATGGCCATTTTGTGGCAGCCATCTTGTGATGATGTGATTATTAGTATAGATCATACTTGTTCTCTTGACATCATTTGAAAGAACACTGTGCATCCTTTTTCTTTCTTTTATTTTTAATAACAGCTTTATTGAGATATAATTCACATACTATAAAATCCACCTTTTAAAAATATACAATTCAGTGTTTTTTATTATTTTCAGAGTTGTAATAATCTAACAATTACCACTATCTAAGTTTAGGATCTTTTTATTTTTTTCCTTTCCTTTTAAAAAGACATGCTCAACCCTAGCTGGTTTGGCTCACTGGATAGAACCTGGGCCTGCGGATTGAGAGGTCTAGGGTTGGATTCTACCTCAGTTGCAGGCCTGCCCAGCCCTGACCCTGGTCAGGGCACATGCAGGAGGCAACCAATCCACGTGTTTCTCTCACATCGATATATTTCTCTGCCTTTCCCTCTCTCTTACACTCTCCAAAAATCAATGGAAAAATCTCCTTGGGTGAGGATTAAAAACAAACAAACAAATAAACAAGAAGGTGGGTAATCTGGTCAGAAGGTCAAATCTCCAAAAGTGCATGCAAGCTGCTGTTCCTCTGAAGCCTCTTCTCCCCGCTGTTGCCCCTGGGCAAGGAAGGGGCCGTCAGGGGGTGGGGACTGAATGTTCTTGAGCATCTCCTGGAAAGCCTGTGGGGATGGTGCCTCCGCATTCTGGAAGGTGACCTGGACTCTGCTGTACAGGCTGAGGCAATTCGGTTCCAGCCAGATGAACCCGAAGTTGTCTTCACCGAACAGCATGAAGACTCCAGGGATGCGCTGCGGGTAGGCGGAGCCAGAGCGGGCAACAATGCCCACGCAATAGAAACCCATCCTGCAGGCTCGGGGGTAATTCTGGTTACTTGAGTTCACGCCCGCAGGCAGGACAAACTGGACAGGCTGCTCCTCCAAAGCTGCAGCCCCGGACTCCCCGACACTGGGCTGCGCAGGGCTCAGCCAGCCATGGCCCTCGCAGGCCTCAGTGCTGTCTTCTTGCTGCTGCTCCTGGATCACCTGCTCATGAACCTCTTGGACCAGGAGGGAGTACTTGTTGAAGTTGCTGAAGATATCATCAGGCAAATGGATGCGGTGCCTGAGGTGGATCTCTATCATCTGCTGCCCAGCAGGGACGTGGTGGTCGCCCGTGATCTTCGTGACCCTGGCATGCTTCCCATGGAAGCTGAGCATGACAACCTCTACTAGGCTGTAGGCATCGTGGGTGCCTTTGAAGAGGCCTGGCCTGATGAGGTCCTCCGGGTGGCTGGGGGAGAGGTAGATGCGGTGGTAGTTCCGGCAGTTGTCATTCTGCTGGTAGATGAGCTTCTTCAGCATGACCCGCAGCCTGTGCTCCTGGAAAATGTGCTCCAGCGTCTGCCCCCATTCTTCCTGCAGCCACGCATGTAAATCCTCTTGGCTCCCACCAGGTATCCTGTGGTGTTGCCTCATGTTGCACTTGGTGGAGAACCCGTCCTTCCGAATCTGCATGTGGCAGCTGTGGGGCCCTTGGCGGCCATCCGTGCACTCCATTGTGGCCGATTTCCTCTCTGTCAGGCGAATTCTAAACGCGGGCTTGAACTGCATTGAGTTATCCACCTGGGGGTCAAGGAGAGACAGGTACGTCTGACCAATAATGCATAAGCTGTCCACCACTACATACAGCAGTCCTCCATAGGGCCAGTTATCTAGCTGCCACAATCCCAAAATGTGTCTGCATGGGTGGAGCAACTTCTCATAGAGTTCTCGCCAAGACACACCCATCATCTCCAGGTTCTGCAAGTTTTCACAAGCGCCATACTCCTCCCGGCAGTGCCGTCTCCAGATGCTGTCGGTGTGGTGCATGCTGTGGAATTTGGTGCTGGCCTGGGCCAGGCTGAGCAGGTCGGTGCCGGGGAGCGAGGCGAAGATCTCCACCAGCAGCTCAGGAGGCAGGTCCTGCAGCGAGCATCGCGGGGGCGGCCGGGGTGGCATGGGGCTCCTGATCCCTCCACTCCCAGCAGAGGACCCAGCCACCGTGTCCGCCTCCACGTGCTGCTCTTCAGGGGCCCGGGCCGGCTTACTGTTGGCCGCAGTCATCTCAGCTGGTCCCAGGCGCTGCTGGCGACACTGGCATCCTCGCGAAGGGCCTAGGCCACAGCGACAAGTGCACTCCTCCTCCATGCCTGGCCAAGTGAGTAAGTAGCAGGGACCTTTGCAGCCAGGCTTTAAGCTGGCACTTCCCCCTCAAGAGCCCAGCCACCCCCTCCCCCCCCCCGCCACCATCGCAGCTGGTCCCAGGCGCTGCTGGCGACACTGGCATCCTCGCAAAGGGCCCAGGCCGCAGAGGCAAGCGCACTCCTCCTCCATGCCTAGCACTGTAAGCAGTGAGGACCTCTGCAGCCCGGCTTTAAGCTGGCACCTTCCCGCCCAAGAGCCCAGCCACGCCCCCCTCAGGGCCTAGCCACGCCCCCTCAGAGAGGAGCTGATTATAGGACTTGAGCAACACTCCAGAGAAACCCATACCATTAATATTCGCCTCCCTTTCCCAGCCCTCCCTCCCTGTCTTCCCACCCTAGCCCTAGCCCCAGGCAGTTACGAATCTGCTTTCTGTATGGATATGCCTCCAGGAATATGCCTATGGGGACATTTCACATAAATGCAGTCTTAATATCTTGTCGTTTTTGAATGGCTTCTTTCACTTAACATAACATTTTAAAGTTTTACGTATGTTATATCATGTCCTGGTATTTTGTTTCTTTATATTGGCGAATAATAGTCTAGTGTATGGATATACCACATTTTGTTTACCCATTCATCAGCTGATAAATATTTGGGTTGTTTCCAGTTTGGGGCTCTTATGAACATTATGTACAACATTTTATGTGAACATGTTTCCATTTCTCTTGGGTATGTACCTACAAGTGGAACTTTTGGGTCATATGGTAACTCTATGATTTAACATGTTGAGGAACTGCCAAAACATTTTCCAGCCCTCGCTGGTTTGGCTCAGTGGATAGAGCGTCGGCCCGCGGACTGAAGGGTCCCAGGTTCGATTCCGGTCAAGGTCATGTACCTTGGTTGCAGGCACATCCCCAGTAGGAGGTGTTCAGGAGGCAGCTGATCAATGTTTCTCTCTCATCGATGTTTCTAACTCTCTATACCTCTCCCTTCCTGTCAGTAAAAAAATCAATAAAAATCTATTTAAAAAACGGAAAAACAAAACAAAACATTTTCCAATGTGGCTCCCCTATTTTACATTCCCACCAGCAATGTACCAGGGATCCAATTTCTCTACATTCTCATTAATGCTTTTTAATATATATATATATATATATTTACACCTAGCAACCTACATGGTTGCTTTTGCTAAAAAATATTATAGCCCTCCTAGTGAGTGTTGAGTGGTATTTTATTGACTTGACTTGACCTTTATTGACTTGAACTGGAACGCCATAAGGGAAATCTCTTCTATCCTCAGCCTCACCCAGCCTCTGCCAAATCTCTCAGGCCCCTGGTAGGAATGGGCTCCTGCATGTGATGTGAGCAAGGATGGACTCGAGTTCTTCACTTTCCAGTGACTACTCTTGCTAGTTCCTTGGGTGAATGGATGCCCTAATAAAAACAAACAAATAACAACAACAACAAAACCAGTTCACAGGATCTGCCCACTATGAACATAGTTACTTTTCCTATGGACTGAGCCTGGCCTTGCCCCTTCAGACAGGCTTCCATTCTCATGTTGAGAGCAGCTAGATTCTTTCTCTCCACTTTTCTGGATTCCTACCAGAGAAACACTCACACCTTTGGAGGGTTCTCTTAGTACCCTGGGAGGAATTTGATTTGCCTTTGTCAGCAACAGGCATTTAGGGTGGTTTATTTTATAGAGCGGTGTAAATTCTGCCTGCCATAGACACTGACTTCAATCATTTAAAAAATAAAATATTCTCAGCCCCTCCTCTGAAGAATAGCCCTGAATTATTATTGGTAATGTTAACGTAAAAAAAAAACTATTGAAACCTTGTAAAGAATTTTTGTGAGTTTATTTGAGCCAAACTGCCGACAAATGCCAGGAAGCAGAGCCTCAAAAAACTGAGATAATGCTGGGGAGAAATGGCGGGTTACATCTGTATTTATACATTGCAATCAAAGGAAGGGACATAGGTAGGTTACATGAAATCCATTGGTGATAGATTAGAGAGATGGGAGAAAGCAAGGGGAAACCCCTGGGATTGGATAAAATGTAAAATTATGGACACATACTTAGGTGGGTGCAGGATCAATTAACGTGATAGTGAAGGAATTTGTGGTATCTGTCCTGGTGCCCAGCACATTTGGTTGTGCCCCAAGGGGTCCAGAAAAAGGGAAGTTACAAGTTACCCAGACACTTCAAGGGTATGTTATCATAGATGCAAAAAGATAGATAGGCTCAGTTAAGGTAAAGGTAGACCTTGTCAGTGAAGATACTGGCCTAGGATGTAACTGCCCACCATAACTGCTTTTAGTTAAAGTTTAATTTCAGACCATCCCTTGTGGTTACTTTATGTCTCTGAGTTTGCAAGACTGCCATGCAGGCCTCCCCTGAGCTTGTCAGGTCAGCATGTGGCCCCTTTCGTCCACAGTATGTGACTGGATAAGGTGGTGTAAAGACGCTGGTTTTAGGAGCCTATATTGATGGGATTTTGAGGGGTGGTCTCCAAAGGTACGTGTGTGTTTGGTGGGTCAAGGAGAACCTAGGAATGTGAGTGCAGCTGGTGTGTAGAGTTAGGAGGGCTTCACCAGCTATTGAAGAAGTTCAATCATATTTTCTCTCCCAGGATTTCGAGAGCCAGAGACACCACCAACCTAGGAAGAAACCTGTGTAGGAAGATTAAAGGCAAAGGCAGGTCAATAGATCAAAGGAAAGACAGGGGCTGCTGCTATTGTTAGGGGCAAAAAAAAAAAAAAGAATATTGGGGACTAGCTATGGTTATGGGAAATATTAGTCATGCTATTGAAAGGGCGAGGGCTACGCCCTCCATCTTGCCCCAGGGTAAGGGCTACACCCTCCATCTTGCCCCAGGGTAAGTGCTCCATCTTACCTTGGCCATGTGCTTGGCAAGGAGCTTCCCGGAAGTCTAAGCCTCTGCTAGCCACACCCGGGAACAAGACACCGACTTGCGCCTGGCCAATCGGCAAGGCCACAGCCCTTTCTCCTCCCCTTACTCCAACCCCCTATAAAACCCCTCTCCACACAGAGTTCTCTCTCTCTCTGCTTCCTGTCGCTGTGTCGGCAAGGTGGGGGAGCCGAGCTAGCTCGAATAAAGACTCATGCTATTGCATCGGACTGGCTCCCTGATGTTGGGTTCTTGGGGATCCTGAAATCTTGGGCATAACGCTATGTTAACCATGATTGCCTTGTGTTGGTTAAAGAAAGGACATTCTGACCTGGCTGGGAGTTTTATGCCCCCAAGATTGGGAGTCAATCTTGGAACAGGAGTCAACCTTGGAATGTGGCCCATTCTCATTCAAAAATGGCCTATTATCATGAAAAGATTAACAGCCTTGTTGCCCAAACAATGGAGTCCCACCCCAGCCTCCTACTTCCTCTTGCCTATAATCCCTACTTCCCCATGCCTGTAATCCCTACTTGCCCATGTAATCTTTATTTTATCCTATATAAGCAGCTGGCTTATGGGGGTGCTGCAGAGAAGATTTTTGTGGATGACCTGCTACTCTCCCATGCTGCTGGCAGTATTGGAATAAATGCTATTATATGATTCACCCCTATCTCTGCTGAATTGGCTCAAGTAGTGACAGGCAGCCTGGACCCTTTGATTGTCTGGTTACACTATCCCTGTGCCCTTTCTGGTGCTGTTCCATCTGTTTACACAGCTCTCCCACTCTACCCACCATCCAAACCTCTACTATTGTCCTGGGCCTCACCTACTAATGGCACATGATCTTGGTCAGGAAGCATCCTCTGAAGCCCCAGGCCTGGCCAAGTGCCTCTCCCTGGTACTTCGAAAGCACCTTGGAGTTAAGTGCCCATCAGTAAATGAGTGGCTAAAAAAGCTATGGTGCATTTATACTAGGGAATACTATGCAGCAGTAAAAAAGAAGGATCTCTTACCCTTTGAGACAGCGTGGAGGGACCTGGAGAGTATCATGCTAAGTGAAATAAGCAGTCAGAGAAAGACAAGTATCACATGCTTTCACTCATATGTGGAATATCTCCTTTTTCTTTTTTAGACTTTCTTTCCAATTAACTTCACTGACATTAGATACTGATGATTTTGCTCTGGTTACTCTGAACTACCTGGTGAACATCTGATTGCCCTTTTCATTCTATATACCACCCAAAGAAAGATGGTCAGTTCCCTTAACTTCATCCAGTCTTTGTTAGTGATTTCCTAATTGTCTCTACATTGGGTAGAGATTACCTAGCTATCTTTGACTCTTTTATACTTAATTTGTTATCATATTCTGTCCAACCTATATCATAAATTCTCCCCGTGTATTCCTCACCGACCCCATTGCTACTACTATACATTGTGCTATTATCACCATGTTCTGGATTGTTAAAATCTACTTCTAATTGTCTCTCTTACCCTGTCTCACTTTATCTCCCTTGCCATGTCAAAGAGACTAAAACATATCTGTAGCATGTACCAATTCTCCCAGTGCTTTCTTAAAAGCCAGCCAAGCTCTGGAAATGCTTGCCATAAACTCCTTTTTGAAGCAAACTCAAATCTTCTACCCCTAACAATACCTAACAATATGTACTCTACTTATGAATGTACCTTGGGCCTCTTTTCTCTATTCCTTTTTCTCATGATCTTGCATGTTCCCAAAACATACTTCCACTCATTCTCTGCTTTACAAATCCTTACCAATTGTTAAAGGTTTGGCACAAGTATCACTTCCTGTAGTTTTCCTTGATTCCTCTGTCAGATTCACCTTTTATCTTCATCTGAGTTTTCATAGACCTAGCTGTGCATACACCTCCATTATATCACTCATTATACTGCACTGGAGGGAATTGTTTTTGTATCTGGCTGCTTTTAAAAGACTGAGAACTTCCCACAGGGAGATGTGGCTATTTCCCAATATTTCCAATGCCAAACATCATACCAGAAATTAGAAGGCTCCCAATAATTGCTTGAATCACTACTTTATCATATTAAGAGGCATAGAAAAACGAA